AACAATCGGAAGATTCAACTTTGAAAACCAATAATAATGACTAATGTATTTATTCTGAGAAAAATTAATTTCAATGAAGAACAAACTGATCTATCCTTATGAGCTATTCGAGAGCGACAATATATCTAATTGACAATACTGCAGTAAAGGATCAACTCACAAAACAAATCTACCAATCAATTATATTCTAACAAATCACATATAAAAAGAGCATGACTAATCTTATATGAAATTTGATAAATATAATTTTCAAGGTTTTCAGATTTGAAAATAATTAACAATCTCTCAAAATAAAATTAAACAATAAAATCTATGAAGGAATCAAAATAAAATAACAAGTCAAACTCTTCAATTAAGATCCTCCCTAATCTTGTTGAAAATTTAGTTGCCCTTTAACATAATTCTCTAGCCTTAAAGAAGAGAATAGAAGTCTGGTAGCAGCCTCTCCAGCCCCTTGGAACTCCCTCTAAAATAACTTAGATGGGTATTTATAGAATCCTAAAAACCCTAATTAGAATGGAGGTCGGGCTGAGCTGAATTACTGTGCAAGGGGTCGACACTCTTTACAAGGTGCCGGCACTTTGAGTGGAGCATCAGCTGCATCCTCCGTGTCGGGTTTTTGGCCTTTTGTGCAATTTTGCTTAATGGCAGAATAACAGTCTTGGTCCCTGACTCTTGAGCCTTTAAACTTCTAATTTATCCTTAGATCCTCATCTTTTCAGCTCTTTGCATTTAAGTCCTTTTTCTTCTAATTCTCTCCATTTGACATCAACCTTCAATCACCATAAAATTTGCACAACATGAATAAATGAACACTTATGAAATTATTTATAGAAAAATAAAACTCTTAAACTCATAATTCCACAAATGTCAATGGTTAAGCACACTTTAAATATACATTTTCATGCTTTCATCAGGCAGCTGTGAGGTGGTCGTAGCCTATATCATCTCGCTCCATCATATTTTTTATTTCTGAATTGTTGAAACATGTTGGTGGTCTCCTCACCCAATATAATATGTTACTAATTGAGCATTGCACTGTGAACAAAGCTTCTAATTAAGCATCTAAAAATTGGTATAGTATGTATTGTACTAAGACATTAATCTCTTCTTTTTGTCTCCGGTTTGTTTTTACATAATTACTTGTTTATCATTTTTTTTTTATTTTCTTTCTTGATTATATTTTTAATACTTTTATTTTATAATTTATATTACACTGAATTACAAAATATTAAATAAGCAGACAACTCTAAATATTACCGTACAACATTTTTTTTTCTTGATTTTGTTCGCAGCTTTTTCTAGCTGGTAAAGAAATCTCTCGGAAAGTTATCCTAGAAGTTTTGTAGTGCCTTTATTTCATTAAATGTTGTGATGGGGCACTTGTTTGAAAAGATCTTCCTTAGAATTCGTTCGCAGTGTATGTGATAAAAGCGCTGAACTTCTCTCACATTCGCTGCGCGTGAGTAATAATAATTATTACAGATTAAATTGCGTCAATTCGACAAGTTATGTCATAGAGGGTTCAAAATGTAAGTGTGTTTATAAATGAATATGAATAATTTCAATTGCTCTGCTTTCTTGACAGATCAATTTTGTTATTGTTTCCCTTTATATTTTTCATTTTTTCTTTCATATCTATAATTAACTCTTAGTAGGTCTATATGCTATGTTATGTTACCTTTGTTAGGGATGTGGACCTTTTGACATTAAGTTTTTTTTTTTTTTTTTTTTTAAATTTAGTACAATTCAAACAGTTAAAAAAATGCTTTTTGAAATAATAGTGAGAGTTTGAATTAAAATGATTTAGAAATTATTTCTTTCATTTTTCCCCTTAGGGTGGACACAATTGGCTGCTATTAACCTAGAATCCCGAGCAATCTTGTTTGCAGCCAAGGGGCATTGATTCATTCTTTTAAAAATGCCTTTTTGACAATCTAAAGTGCAGTACCATGTGGTAAAACAGCACTGTTTCTTGAATTAACATTTTTTTTTTCCATTTCCTTCTTTTTAATGTATTACTTTTCATGCTTTTGCTAGTTATGTGTCGAGATATGTGTTTCAAGAGTACTATGGGATTACTTGGGTCAATGTCATACCTATTTCCATCCCAACTCAATAAGCTTCTTTTATATATTTATCATTTTTTCTTTTCCATTTTAATTCTCTTTCTTGTAAGTGCTAGTTGAGTGAAATAGTTTCATATGATGTAAACCATGTCAACGTGATATCTTGTGAAGTGATAGGTATAAATGGCTAAGACTAAGTGACTCATGGAGCTATATAATTCAATCATCATGCATAGAGCTAGGCTATTACATATGAATTGGTATTATATCTTATTTCACTTAATTATCTTAGCTTATGCCTTAGGTGCCACTCATACTAGTAATCATCAGTTACATATCAATTCCTTCTCTTTGAGAAATGCATTTCCTCAAGTTGAAGTTTTAGAAACCCCTTCTTCAATTAGAAAAGAATACTGAGCCGTATCCACTAGAAATATGCCTACAATACACTACTGACCTAAGGTGCCTCATTGTCGTCCGACCATGCAACCTTCTATACAAAATAACCAAATTAAGGCTACAGCTTTACACTGCAACAAGATCGAGTAGTTGAGATATTGGTGTGGTATTGTTGCTTTTATGACAAAGAGATACAAATACAACAAAGAACTTCGAACCCTAATTACATAATTCCTTGATT